GGTAGAAAAGGTTTGTGGTGTTGCCTGTTCAATTGGCACTTTTCTTCGGCACAGTTAACAGAGCACGTTACTAATTTTAGTTTAGTTTTGTATATCTCCCAGGTCTACGTCTCATTACCAGTGCTTCCATGTGACTCCCAGTTTTCTCTTGGTTAATTTTTGTTGGACTTTTTGGACATTTAATGAAATACGTTTCTGTTTGCCTTTTTTTTTTAATTAAATATTTTTGTCTTCTACCTTTTGTTTTGTAAGAATTCAAAACTTGACAGTCTCTCTATATCAATCTTTAAGTGGAGTTAATAGTAAATACTTCCCTCCCTGAGAATCAGCAGGCAGTAGCTGCACTTGTTGTATCTGTAGGATTAGGAAAGTGCAGTTTTTCTTGCTGTCTTTAATTTCAGAGTTTAACGTTTATTCTCTCACTATAAACAGTTATTCAGGTACTTTGAGCTAAACAACAGGTACAAAACAACAAGTATATTTTACTAATACTCATGAATGAATGCTGTGTATGTGCTTTACTGTAGAACCACATCAGGTGTAATGTTACCTTTCTATTATTTAAGAGGCTGGAGACCAGCTTCCTGTGGTGGTCGTTTTGATCATTGTAGCCCTCATTATCGATCCATTCATTGATGGTGTTGAGGTGGTCGTTTGTCATGATCCCCTTGTCTTTCAGCAGGTTGAACCAGTTCTCCACCATCTTTTTACTGTGATGTGGAAAACCTTCCTCATAAATGGAAAGCCTGGTTTTACTCGGCTCGGTGTTAAAGGAGTTAAAGCCCTCGTTGCTTTTCAGTCTGAATCTCACCATTGAACCAAGAATCATCAGTTTGAAGGTGCCAACAACGTCATCATCTTTTATGGTGTTGGTTAAGAGATCTCTGAAGTCTGGTGATCTTGAACTGGGTACATCCATATGTACATCCTTTGGTACATAAACAGCTGGAAGGTTAGGGCCATGTTGATCTTTCACTTTCTGAACCAGGTCTGTATTCAGAGGAGATGAGTTTGTTGCCACCTCAAGCATGCCTTTGGCTAATTTGCTATTTTGGTTCAACTTTCCTGCATCCACGATACAGCTCACTGGTGGCTGGTGGTCAGCATGAATGATCTGTCCAAGTCCTGGATTTTCCTTTGCAAATGTTTTCCAGTTTTTGTAGTTTACGATTCTTCCAACAGTGTCCTTAAGTAGTTTTTTGGTTTCTTTAGTTTTGTTTTTTTCCGGTGCAGCTCCCTCTGCCATGTACCAGTCCCCTCCTCTGATGGCTTCAGTCCACTCCTTCCTCTTGACAAAGGGCTCCCATTGGCCCGGGTTTCTGAGGAGAGCTTCAGCCTCTTCAATTCGCAGGCTGTCTGCTTTCTTTGAGATCTCTGATTCGCTGGCACCTGGATTCATGCCTCGTGCCAGAGCATGAAAGAGGCAGCTTTTTCCCTTACTCGACCTCTTTCCACGCGCTGACTTCTAGTGCTCGGAGACCCAAGCTCACCTCCTGTTTCTGCAACAATCGTCCTTTGTTTTAAGTTTTTTTTGGCGCGCAGGTAATCCGCGGCCGGCAGTGTTCTAAATTCCGAGCTCGGATTGTCCAGTGAACGCATCTCAGTTTCTCGGAGAGCGTCAGACTATAACAGATTATCAGAAAGATAACGGTCTTATTCCGTCCTGCAACGAAAGGACATCAAAGGACATCTTTCCACTCGACGGAGAACCAACGAAGCCGCTCTCGCCGTAAGGGACCCTCGCCGCCATCAGACGCCTCTGCACCAGGACGGACAGAAGATCTGCTCCATTGCCGGACTCTTTTCCTTTCACCAATCGCGGACAAAGCGGTTCACAAGTGAGGCTTAATTAGGTCTGGGCAGAATTAGCTTTAGAGAGTGTTTTTAACAATTGTTGATTGAAGCAGAAACTGTAATTTTTATCTTTGTTGGACCGCTGCGTCCTGAGTTTTAACTGTTTAAAACTCTTGTTGTTGTTCCGGACCGCTGCGTCCTATATGTGTTTAGCGTAACAGCGTTATAACCGGGTATTACTCTTCTGATCAGAAAGGCCAGTGTAAGCCGTATTAACTTGAATTCGGCTATTGGTTTGTTTCTGTGAATGAGGGGAATTACTCCGAGTTGTGGCGCGGGAGTCGGACTGTGATCCGGCCTCTTCAGGCACGCATTTATCTTTTATTCTCTTTTATCCTCTTTTATTTCCCCTTCTACGAACATATACACACACATATTCCTGTGTAAACGTACATCTGGAGACCAACTCCACCACCGCGCCATTACGCACAGAGATCTATACACTCACGGCTATCCAGACGCCTCAGAGACACAGATCGTGTAGGGCCGAACTCGGTCTCTTTTAGACATTAAGGCCACGTTTAGGCCTTTGTTAGGTGTGCGCCATCGAAAGGGCGACCACGTGGGACGAAGTAATCTTCCCCCCTTTCTCTCCCTTTCATCCACACACACACGCACGCACGCACGCACGCACGCACCCACGCACCCAGGTCTTTGTTAGGTTTGCGCCATCGTGAACGACCACGTGGGTACGAAGCCATCTCCCCCCCTTTCTTCTTCCCCCTCTCTCTCTCTCTCTCTCTCTCACACACACACACACACACCTACATTCACACCCCTTCCACAAGCCTTTGCTTGATAATGTTTGTTGCTTAGATTAGTTTATAATAGTTATTTGTTTAATTAAGTTCATTGATTTTGGATTGATGTTGCTTTGTTTAAATAAATTCTGTTATAATTTAAGAGAGCAGTTGTTTGTGGTTACTGGTGTATTTGCATTGTGATATAAGCTGGGTGCGAAGGCTTTGTGTACGGATTTCACGCCTTCAATTTATTAAATATAGTTATTCATTATTAATAATATTAGTAATTAAATAACTAATTTGAGACTGATTTGAGTGATATTTTGGTTATATTTACCTGATTACAGGTTGGTGCCCCAAAACGAGATTAAACATAGTTTAATGATATTTTATTTATATTATTAATAATTAAGTATAATTATTAAAGAATATAACCAAAGTTGACTTGATACAACCCCAACAGTTTCTTCTTGTACACATGCTGCCTGCAACGCTGTCACTCTGACACAGTCAAAAACTGTTTGCTACCCCTCTCACACATCTGCCACTCATCACCTGTGTCTAACCTTAATGCCTTTCCTGTGATAATGCCCTACCTAGTGTTATCATACTTGTATCTCCTATTAAGTACGATCACATTGTATGGTCACTTATTCCTAATATGAACTGTTTCACATGAAACCTCAAATGCAAGACATTGATTGTGTGAGATTAAGTTTGTCTGTATGACTTTGTAGTGTGCATACTATTTCTCATCAAACTGTGATAACTGTGATTAAATTAAGTATATGTCTGCCATATGTTGCCACCTCATAAATATTTTTCTAGATCCGCTCCTGGTTCAGGGTGATATGGCTGTAAGCCATTACTGTGTGCAGAAAGAGTCCTTTTAAAGATCTGATGCCCTCGTCCATAATGTGGCACATTATTGATTCTGGCTGAATTTTTGGACATCTGAATATGTCTCTATCACCATATGATAAAAAAAACGATGTCTCACACAATGTAATTTGTCTTCATCACCCTAGTCGCTTTGTCAAACATGTAGTCATGAATATCCTGTAGGTGAGGTGAAACAAAATGAAAAAGCTTACAACACCTGGTATTCCCAGGCTCCCATCCAAGTACTAACCAGGCCTGACCCTGCTTAGCTTCCGAGATTGGACGAGATCGGGTGTGTTCAGGGTGGTATGGCCGTAAGCAATTACTGTGTGCAGAAAGGGGCCTTTTAAAGATCTGATGCCCTCGGCCATAATGTGGCCAGCTTGGAGATGTGCACTGTGCTAGCCTCAGATTTTGGCCTATGGCAACATCACATACTATCAATCAATCAATCTTTATTTGTATAGCGCCAATTCATAAAAAGTGTTATCTCAATACACTTTACAAAAAGCAGGTAAAAGACCTTACTCTTTGTTATTTAATATAACAAAAGAGCAGGTAAAAAGACCATACTCAGCTAAATTACAAAAACCAAGCCTTAATCCAGGCTAATGACAAAAAGCCATCTACTGAAACTGCGCCGGGCTTGAAAATGGGATAGGGAGAGATTCGTTCAGGCAGGCTGTCGACCAACGATACTGAGGAGTTTAAGAGAGCTCAGGAGCTCCCAGGAAAATATGTGGTTAGTGAGATGGATACATGCAGTATTATGATCTCAGAGAGAGATAAGAGCTCAATGTGCCTAGACTAATGTAGTCTAAGCCTATAGCAGCATAACTAGGAGCTGGTCTACACCAGCGCCAGCCCTAACTATAAGATTTATCAAAAACGAAAGTTTTAAGTCTATTTTTGAAAATACAGAGTGTGTCTGCCCCCTGTATCCCGAATGGTAAAAGATTCCAGTATATTTAGAGACCGTAGGTACCACGAGCAGGCCTGATAACTGAAGGCTCTACCTCCCAAAGTACTTTTAGAGACTGTAGGTACCATGAGCATTGCTAAGTGCTGTACTCATGATGGATTAACACTGGGTCTTTGTTACATAACAATTAGTATGGTCTTTTACCTGCTTTTTGTAAAGTGTCTTGAGATATACAAATAAAGATTGATTGATTGATTGATATGGTAAAAATAATTGGTCCAAGCACTGAACCTTGTGGCACTCCATGACTAACTTTGGTGTGCATAGAGGAATTATCATTAACATGTACAAACTGAGATCGGTCTGATAAGTAGGATTCAAACCAACTTAAAGCAGTCCCTGTAATTCAAGTAATTGTTCTAGTCTGTGTAATAGGATTTGATGGTCAGTAGTGTCAAAAGCAGCACTAAGATCTAAGCTAGAAGAAGATCGTTTGTAACTTTAACTAGTGCAGTCTCAGTGCTATGGTGGACTCTAAATCCTGACTGAAACTACTCAAATAAACTGTTGTCACATACACATAAAGAGAGAGAGAGAGCTCTGTATTCAGTGATCTTTATTTTAAAAGATGATCACTACATCTGATGTAAAGACACTGTGAGCAGCGTACTGAGCATGTGCAGAGTGTGCATGACACGGGCAGGCAGGAGAACATGGAGAGTGTCTTCATCGTCATTTCGATCCTCTTCCTCCTCCTCCCTCCCTCCTCCTCCCCCAGTATTTGTTTACATTCAACATTTTAAACATGTTTTTAGTGTTGCAGTCGAGCATGCCTTTTTATTACACGTCTGTTTTTTAAGTGTTGACATATTTGTAGTTTTTACGAGCTTTAAAAAATGTAGTCCTGATGAAGCTTCACTTTGTGATCAGAGCGTTAGTGTGTGTATGTGTGTGTCTGTGACTGTGTATACAAAGAGTGTGTGTTCACACAAAGTGTGTGTGTGTGTGTGTGTGTGTGTGTGTGTGTGTGTGTGTGTGTGTGTGTGTGTTCAATGAGTGGCATGTGTGTTCAAATACACTGACAGTGTAACATTCAGGTGTGTGAGAAACAGAGTATTATCTCTCAGTACAATCAGTTTACATTTATAGTTATGTAATGTCACTTTCTTCATGAAGTCATATTTGTGTCCGTCACTCAGTCAGCCAACATGGCTGAAAGTCTTTAACGTGTACTTCCACGGATGGCCACCAGGTTAAAACTCCAGCTTAAAACATTCCTGTGATGACCTTTAAGCTTTTAACAGGACGTTTTTTTTCTTGTCTATTTTGCCTCATGATGGAGGAGACACAGTCACCAGAGGAAGTACATTTGATTGACAGGTGTCTCAGCCAATCAGGCGTCCATCCAGTCTCCCTAAAGTTTGTTGACGTGCATTTTCCAGGTTTTTTCTCCAGAACCTTCCATGTGATGTTTGTTGAGTCAGTGGAGATGGTGAAGTGTGATCAGAGGTGGACAATATATGTTCAGTGACATCTGATGACCTCACAGTGACATCACCTCCTCGTCCCTCACTCTGTTCAGAGTGATTCGTTCCTCCTTTATGGCTTTTCTTTCTTTTCTAAACAACACGAGCATCATCATCCTCTCTCAATGACGGACGACACACGAGGACAACGAGCCCTGAGACATCAGTTTGATGAGGTCACATGATGTCACATGTGGTCATATGACACAGGTATCGCCATGCACAGACAACATGAGGCGTGTTTTACAACATCGACATTAAAAGTTTCATTATGAAGCATAAACGGACACAGGCATGAAGGATCAACGTCACGCTTCTTTTCAGCTACTCCTCCAAGAGTTTTTTCAGAGTGTCATAGATCTCGACATCTGACCTTTTCACTCGTCTCTTTGGCGTACATTAAATGTTACACATTGTATTTTAATAACCTTTTCTTTTTTTCTGCATCATTGGCCTTCATTCATCCTCCAACAGTGTGAGTCTGAACTTTCCTGACTGACAGCGAACACATTTCTGTTTTAGATTTAATACAACTCAGGTCCAGTTGAATGAAACACGGTCATCTATTTCCATCACTGATCCATCCTTACCCCCCTGACGCAAACCCCTAACCCTGGTCCTCACTGATCCATCCTTACCCCCCTGACCCAAACCCTGGTCCTTACTGATTCATCCTTACCCCCCTGACCCAAACCCCTAACCCTGGTCCTCACTGATCCATCCTTACCCCCCTGACCCAAACCCTGGTCCTCACTGATTCATCCTTACCCCCCTGACCCAAACCCTGGTCCTCACTGATTCATCCTTACCCCCCTGACCCAAACCCCTAACCCTGGTCCTCACTGATCCATCCTTACCCCCCTGACCCAAACCCTGGTCCTCACTGATTCATCCTTACCCCCCTGACCCAAACCCCAAACCCTGGTCCTCACTGATCCATCTTTACCCCCCTGACCCAAACCCCTAACCCTGGTCCTCACTGATCCATCTTTACCCCCCTGACCCAAACCCCTAACCCTGGTCCTCACTGATCCATCCTTACCCACCTGACCCAATCCCCTAACCCTGGTCCTCACTGATCCACCCTACCCCTCACATCTTAAGAGAAAAACAAACCCATCACAGACAAAGAATAAAACAGTCCAGCTCTGTTTGTGTGTCAGCAGCTGAGGTAGTTCCAACAGAGGCAGCAGTTGCACCTTATATCTAAGCGTGACGTGACTCAGCTCTGACTTAATCGGTGAGAAAAGAATCAAGTTATCAGTAAGTTTCACTTCTTTTTTTTAATCTCTGTAAGTGTTGAGAGAGACAATGCAGCAGCTTCATGTTCAATGTAAGAAATGTGAAAAATAAATGATTCAGAAGTTTGATCCATAAACTGACAGAGAATTCTGTCCATCACACTGTGTGTCCAGTCCAAAGACTGATACCTGATGCCCAGGGTTCATTAGATAAACATGAAGCTATAATCTAGCCTCTTGGTAAACTAAAGAGTAAAAATTATGTATTTGTTAAAGTTCAGCAGCTAGGTCACTGATTGGTTCATCCTGTGATACGTGAGTAAGTGATGGTGTGGTCATGAAACAACTCGTCAGAGTCCCGGTCAAACAGGGTTAGGGTTAGGGTCAAAAACGACATAACCCCTAACCCCATCTGGAATCATGAGTCAAGTCATGAATGAAATTATTCATACAGGGAAAACAGATGTATGCTGTGATGACCGTGCAGAAACACTGAGACCTGAGCTGTTTTCATTTTCACCTGTTTCTCGGCACAAACATTGCATGTGAATAAAGCACAGTGAAAGTGTGAAGTCACAGTTTACAGCACACAAGGGCAGCTGTTGACCTCCTTTATCATGAATAAGAGACATAAGGCACTGATGGGTGAGTTTCAAACCTCTCTCTGTCTATGGGTCTATCTCAATCTGCAGCTCCGAGGTTTGAGGCTTTTTCTCGCTCTCAGACTCTTTGGTCTCGATGTTAAACCCGTTCTGAGCTTTACACGCTTCTACGAACAGCGGGAAATCAGACAAGCTTGTGTTGCACTCCTTGTCTTCTCTGTCGTCGTCTCCCTCATCCTTCCTCTTTCCTTCGTCAGCGGATTGCGTGCTGCAGTCGAAGATAGGCGTGCCACAGCTGTAGATCTCACTGTGCGGCCGGCGGGTCTCATCTGGGATGTTCTTCTTCAGCTCTCGGTTCCGACTGCGTTTAGTGAGTTTGGTGACGGAGCCTAGCCGGTTGAAGATGTTGTCCTCGGATGTGGTCTTGTGGTCAGAGTGGCGATCGCAGTGCTCCGCCCCTCGCAGGCGGAGGTTGTTGAGCTTGATGTCGATGCTCTCCTGGGAGGAGGTCTTGCAGTTGTTGGTGTCCAAGCTGTTGAAGATGGCGCGGCGCTCTGGGGACAACATGTCCAGCGACACAGCGCGCTGGTCCAATCCCAGCTGTCGCCGCTCCATGCTACGGATGGTGGCGGCACGCTGAAGCTTGTCATGGACCTCCACGCTCATCCGCCGACGCGTCTCCCTGAACTCTGCTCGCACATTAGCTTTCCACTCTGCAGCGTGAGCTTTAATCTCTCCAACCTAACCGTAAAAAGAACATCAACACGTTAGAGTTGTGATTTTAAATATGAACAAATATGGAAATAATTATGATTATATTAAATATAAATGGTAAATATACTTTAGCTAGCATAGCGCTTTCCTAGTCTTCTGACTACTCAAAGCCCTTTTACACAGGTCACATCTACCCATTCACACACTGATGGTAGAGGCTGCTGCGTAAAGATTCCATCAGTATTAACTCATTCATTCATACACATTCACACACTGATGGTAGAGGCTGCTGTGTAAAGAGTCCATCAGTTTTAACTCATCCATTCACACATTGATGGTAGAGGCTGCTGAATAAAGATTCCATCAGTATTAACTCATCCATTCATACACATTCACACACTGATGGTAGAGGCTGCTGTGTGAGGAGTCCATGAGTATTAACTCATCCATTCATACACATTCACACACTGATGGTAGAGGCTGCTGAGTAAACAGTCCATCAGTATTAACTCATCCATTCATACACATTCACACACTGATGGTAGAGGCTGCTGAGTAAACAGTCCAGCAGTATTAACTCATCCATTCATACACATTCACACACAGAGAGCCACTCTACCACTGAGCCACAGCCCCCTGACAGGTTAGATGTCAGAGATAAAATGTAATTTCACAGTTATGTCAAGGATAAGATGTGTCACAGATATGTCACATATGATGTCACAGATATGATGTCACAGATAAGATATGATGTCAGAGATAAACTGTGATGTCACAGATATGATGTCAGAGATTAGACATGATGTCACAGATATGATGTCAGAGATTAGATGTGATGTCACAGATATGATGTCAGAGATAAACTGTGATGTAATAGATAGGTTAGAGATAAGATGAGTCACAGATATGTCATAGATAAGATGTGATGTAATCAACAGGCTAACTAATTAGTCAATTCATGAACTAAATCATTGATACAGTGTGTGTGACAGAAAAAGATAAGTTTTAAATCAAAAGTCAGCACCTGATGAAGATGTGATAATTCGAGTAGTATTATATCTACTGTATGTATGGTTATCAGAGTATGGATGTTAAGGAGAGGTCTTTCTGTTGTTGTTTGTTGGTGTGCTTAATATCATCAGCTGATTATCACCTGAGGTTCACTTTATTCAAATTAAGACCATCACATGATTTATAAATCATCTTTATCATCAGTAGCTCCTCCTCTTCCTCAGTGAGTACCTCCTCCTTCGTCTTCTTGGACAAAACCCTCAGCCAGTCTCCAATCATGTTCAGCACCGCGGCAAAGTACGCCAGACCCCCCAGGATCCAGAACCAGACCAGAGGACGGTACCACTGACTGTACTCAGTACGACGGTCCCCTCCTGAAAGGAAGAGGACATCTTCATCAAAACCACTCATCTTCATCATCACTCATCTTCATCATCATCTTCATCACCACACTCATCATCATCACACTCATCTTCATCATTACACTCATCTTCATCATCACACTCATCTTCATCATCATCTTCATCACCACACTCATCTTCATCATCATCTTCATCAGCATCTTCATCACACTCATCTTCATCATCCTCATCTTCATCATCATCTTCATCACAGTAAAACAGCTGTGCTCAGTTTAATATGAAACATTGGAGAAATGATTTTGAGCACCTGCCACATAATCTCCGATCCCGACCGTGGTCAGCGTGATGACCACGAAGTACGTGGAGTCAAGCGCTGACCAGCCCTCAATGTGCTGGAAGATCACCGCGGGGATGGTGACGAAGAGGATGCAGCCCGCCAGGATGAAGAGCAGGGTGGAGGCCACACGGATCTTAGTCTGACTGATCTGGTTGTGTTTGTTCTGGGACACACACACACACACACACATTTTCCCCCCTGACCCGCCGGGACAGAACACTCTGTGTGCTCCGGGAGCTCAGGGTTTACAAATTGAGCACTGGGTAGATGGGATGCTGGGGACAGCTTACTATGTAGCGTCCCAGTAAGTGAGTATGTTAGTTCAGCCACCTGGAATTGTGGGAATAAGTTAATGTTCCTACAGTGTAATGAAGTTGTTTTGTTGAAAATATGTGTTATGTTTTCTTAGAGTTTAGCATGCGCTTATGAGCTGCAGTTATTATCAGTGTGGACGGTTTGAACCATGAGCGTGTTTAAGGTGCACTGGAGGTTATAGGCTGTGGAGACTGTTGTGAAAGTGAAAGTAAATAATCCCTTTGGGTAACAAAGGGTCTAAGACAGAATCTGGATTCAAACTGAACCCTACAATATAATACATCAGTTATAGTTATCATATATATTGATAAGTAAATATCAGTTTAATGAATATTTTATGAAAGACACATCAAAGATTGTAAACAAATGAATAATTAAACATTATAAATTAGTTATAAACCAATGTTTAACTATGATAAGATGTCATGAAGCTGATAAATCATTAGAAGACTTCTGTGACTCACTCTGAACATTTTCTCCACCTTTGCAATGCTTTTCACAAAAATGGTTCCTAGCTGATCGCCAACGCCCGCCAGCAGGAAGCCAAACAGAGGAATACCAAATATGGCATACAGGATGCAGAAGATCTTCCCCCCCTCAGTGCTTGGAGCAATGTTTCCATAACCTGAGAAGAGGAGAAGGAGAAAAGAAGAGGAGGGCAGAGGAGGGTTGGGGAGAAGGGGGAAGGAGAAGGAGTAGAAAAGAAAAGGAGGATGAGGATGAGGATGAAGAGGAGGGGAGAAGAGGGAAGGAGTAGAAAAGAAGAGGACAGGAAGACAAGGAGATGACATGAAGGGGGAGGAGGAGGAGTTTAAGTTTTATCTCTAAGAACTTGATTTTTTTATCTTATCACGTTATATTCTTCAACCAACAGCAAATCAGAAAGAACCGAGCTCTTCAAAAAAGAACAAGTGTTGAGAACATGTGTTGCTGTTTGAATGAGGCACATCGATGGCAGTTGTTGTTATGTAGTGAGACCATCAGAAGTAACTAATCCCATTCATCCGCCTTCATACTCCGACAACAAAGCAGCCGAAGCAATTCGAGGTTAGGTGTCTTGTCCACGGACAAGAATCAGAACATGTGTTGAGAAAATGTGGTGAGAACATACAATTTGATAAAAACAATAACAATTCTGTCTTTATAAAGTGATGAACAAAACAACTTAAGACATATATCCAAATACTCGTAGATTCTTCAGAAGAACAGTTTCACTAGTTTGACTTGCAGACACACATAGAGAATGTTCTCCTGAATGAACCTGTGAGATCTCAGTACCTATAGTTGTGATGACCGTCCCAGCGAAGAAGAAGGAGCTGCCCAGGTCCCAGTGACTCGAGTTATACGACGTGTCACTGATAGGACTCACGCCGGCGTTCACAGCGTCCACAGAGTGCTGAAGGAAAGAAAAGAAAAAAAATATATTTGTGTTTGCTGTTCATAGTGTGTGGGCCAAACATCACTACCACACACTTCACTATCACACACTTCACTATATTACACTTCACTATCACACTTCAGAATCACACACTTCACTATTACATTTCACTATCACACACCTCCCTATATCCGACTTCATTACATTACACTTCACTTTCACACACTTCACTGTATCAATCTTCACTATATAAATATTCACTATCACACACACTTCACTATATTACACTTCACTATCACACACACTTGACACAAAGATGCACGGTAAATGGAGCAACAGCAGACTCAGAGGTAATGTTCAAAAAACAGTCCTTTTAATCCAGGCAGGGGTTTGGTACATGATTTAGCAACAACAAACAAATCCAGAGGGCTAGGCAAAGGCAAGGAAAGGCAACACTTAATTATCACACACTTCACTATCACATACTTCACTATCAATTACACTTCACTATCAATGCATCACTATATCAGACTTCACTATATTACACTTCACTATCACACACTCACTATATAACACGTCACTAAAACACACTCACTATATAACATGTCACTATGACACACTCACTATCATACATTTCACTATATTACACTTTACTATCACTCAGTCTATCACACACGGCACTATCACACACTTATATATATATATATATAAAACACTTAACTATCTATTACACTATCAATGCATAATTATAAAACACTTCACTATTACACACCTCACTATATCAGACTTCACTTCATAAAACTTCACTTTCACACACTTCACTATATAACACGTCACTATCACTCAGTCTATCACACACTCACTATCATGCACTTAACTATAATATACTTCATTATTACACACTGCACTATCACACACTTCACAATCAAACACTTTACTATCCTAAATTTCACTATCACACACTTCAGGTGTTGAAGAAGCAGCTTTCACATTTTCATTAAATCAGGTATTTATGTGCTGTATGTGTGTGTGTGTGTGTATATGTGTGCGTGCGTGCGTGTGTGTGTTTGTATGCGTGTGTGTTAGAAGGCAGATGGCGCCTCAGTGTATCGAGGAATACGCTGGGTGTGATGGCTTGCTGAGTGGCTGAAGGTCGAACACACAAGGTTAGGACTGAAACTCACTAAACACTGGCTTCCTCTCTCTCTCTCTCTCTCTCTCTCTCTCTCTTTATCTGAAAGTTCTTCCCTTATTAATGTCGTAAGCATACAAATTACAATAATTACACCTCCACTATTATCTGTTGTGTAATGCAAGATTCAGTTTAAGTCCTGTTTTTATGTGTCTGTGATATGCTGCCATTCCTCAAAATAATATAGAAATGCATAAAACACACAGAGTTACCTTGATTTGAGAGCCGAGGACTCTAGCTGTTCTCACAGACTGTCTTAGTGAAGGAAACTGATGGATGGCACAAAAGTGTCTTCCTCACACCTACTGCAAAACACTTAGAATGACATTTGACCTCCCCTTTGAATCACATGAAGTTGTACAGTCATGTTTGTATCAATTATACACCATTTCCGAAATTTATATCAATCAGACATTGGAACAAGTTATCCACACATCGTCTCCAGACTGGATAATAGCAGCTCACTCTTTTCCTGGAACCCCCTAACAAATTACTCAGCAGCTCGGCTTTTCACTGGTTTTAACAAACAACGTCTCAATTTAGTGCTGGTGTAGACCAGCTCTTAGTTATGCTGCTATAGGCTTAGACTACCGGGGGAACTGGCACCTTGAGCTCCTCTCAGCATCTTCAATTCTTCAGAATGGATGAGTACTGGGAAGTTAAAGAGTGATCTGTTTTAACCCTTACAGTGACAGTGAATCTGTGAGGACCATCACACAGCAGGGTGAGTCATACGAGTCATCAACTGAAACTCACTGCAGCGTTGAGAGAGAAAGACAACGAATCAGCAGGAAGTGGTTTTATCCATCAACCATTGATTATCTGTAAGAGCCAAACTAAAGTCTGACTCATTGCACATCTGACGATCATTTATATAAGAGTGTTATGTGAATTCAAAGATGACCTGAAAACAACTACACTCTTAAGTCAATTATGATTTTAAATCACAGTTTGTTGGAGGTATTGGAGCTTGTTTTGTATAATAGCTGTTTTCTAGAAAGAGTTCTGATGTGATATGTGACCTTGTTCTTTTTCCTGTTGCAAACAGAGTAATGAGGTTCTGTGTATAGAGCCTGCATTACAGAGCTTGTTAGTTACCAAACTCACTCTGCAGCTCTGGCTTTCTGTGTGAAGGTGTCTGCATCTAAATGTGAGCTGGCTCTGATCCATGGATGCACTCTCTCTGCATTATGTCATCCATTATCATCCTGGGTTTCAACTGTAATCCATCACATCCAGACCAAACAGCTGGAGTCCATAACAACCAGACCAGACAGCTGGAGTCCATAACATCCAGACCAAACAGCTGGAGACCAAAACATCCAGACCAAACATCTGGAGTCCATAACATCCAGACCAAACAGCTGGAGTCCATAACATCCAGACCAAACAGCTGGAGACCAAAACATCCAGACCAAGCAGCTGGAGACCAAAACATCCAGACCAAGCAGCTTGAGTCCATAACACCCAGACCAAGCAGCTGGAGTCCATAACATCCAGACCAAACAGCTGGAGACCATAACATCCAGACCAAACAGCTGGAGTCCATAACAACCAGACCAAACAGCTGGAGTCCATAACATCCAGACCAAACAGCTGGAGTCCATAACACCCAGACCAAGCAGCTGGAGTCCATAACATCCAGACCAAACAGCTGGAGTCCATAACAACCAGACCAAACAGCTGGAGTCCATAACATCCAGACTAAACAGCTGGAGACCATAACATTCAGACCAAACAACTGGAGTCCATAACAACCAGACCAAACAGCTGGAGTCCATAACATCCAGACAATACAGCTGGAGTCCATAACAACCAGACCAAACAGCTGGAGTCCATAACATCCAGACTAAACAGCTGGAGACCATAACATTCAGACCAAACAACTGGAGTCCATAACAACCAGACCAAACAGCTGGAGTCCATAACATCCAGACAATACAGCTGGAGTCCATATAGGCCCTGATACACCAAGCAGACCACCAAGAACTATTATACTATTATACTATACGAAGGCCACCTCTGGCATCGGCGCACAACGCCTTTTGTCTTGGCCAAAAAGTTGCACTTGAACACTAAGTTAAGACTACAGCCGACAGCCAACCACCACATACGTTCTGCGTATGCGTGAGAGGAAATAACTCTCCATGCCAGCAGGCGGCGGTAGTTTGTAATCATCATTCCAAAAAGGGGAACCGGAAGAGCCTTAACAACATTCACACCTAAGCCGTTTGGTCTGTTTTTAAAGGACTCTAGTCGCTTTGTTGCATAGTTCATTTGGTTTTGCGTGGTGTGAACGTTCAAACGAACTCTGGTGCGTACCAAATAACAGAACTCTGGTCCGCTTAAACACAGGGGTCTGGGTTCACTTCCAAGTTCACCAGTGTTTGGTTTGTCGTACAGTAGGTGAGAATGCATTCCAGACCAAACAAGAGAAGTAAACCAAAATGCAGTGCATTGTGGGTTGAATTTGGCAGTCTGTAAACAATGTCAATAGGTTTGCCGAGCATGTCTAACGTTAGCATTGCTAAACACAGTAGCCTTCAGTCCTCTCTACTTTCATGAGTTGGTCTGTTTAGTTTAGTTTTTCACAGTTTAGATGTATTTATCATTTAGGTCTCATTCTTCCCTAGTGTTGCCGGTTTTTCTCTTGTGTGTTTCCTAGTTTAGTCTTCAGTGTTTCCTGTGTTATTTTGTAATTTCATTTCCTTGTGTCTCTCTCTGTTCTAGTGTGTCTATGTTTAACAGTGTTTCATGTATTTGTCATAGTTGTCCTCAGTGTTTCTTGTCCTGCCTCTGTGTGTTTCCCTCCAGTGTTGATTGGCCTCATTGTCTTCACCTGTGTCGTTAGTCTCACCTGTGTCTGATTACCCCTGTGTCCCGTTAGTCTCCCATTTCCTGGTTCCCGTGGTGGGAGGAGAAAGAGTCAAAGGGGCACAAGAAAGTCTATCTCTTCAAGCTCTCTGGTGGCTTTTTCTGTTGGACCTTGCCTTGGAGCCAGAAAGCTCCAGAGAGTCTCCTCAGCCACACCAGCTGAAGCTTCATCCCAAGCTTCAGCCCAAGCCTCAGCCTAAGCCTCAGCCCAAGCCTCGGCCCAAGCGTCAGCCCAGGCCTCAGCCCAGGACTCAACCCTGGCCCCAGCTCAAGCCTCAGCCTCCCTGTGTTCCAGCAGAGCGCTGTCTGCCACCAGTTCCGGTGGGGCGGCGTCTGCCCCCTGTTCCTGTTCCAGCAGAGCGCCATCTGCCCCCCGTTCCGGCGGAGCGCCGTCTGCCCCCTGTTCCGGCAGAGCACCGTCTGACTCCTGTGTCTGCGTGGGAGGTTCTGGCCACTCCCCTGTCTCTGTGGGAAGCCCTGCCCACTCCTATGACTCCTGTGTCTCCGTGGGAGGTTCTGCCCACTCCTCTTTCCTGGTTGGAGGTCCTGCCCACTCTCGTGTCTCTGTAGGAGGCACTGCCAACTCCTGTTTCCTTGTTGGAGGTCCTGCCCACTCCTGTTTCCTCGTTGGAGGCCCTGGCCACTCCTGTACCCTCGTCAGAGGTCCTGCTGATTCCTGTGCCCTCATCAGAGGCCCTGCTGGCTCCTGTGCCTTCGTCAGAGGCCCTGCTCACTCCTGTGTCCTTTTCGGAGGTCCTGCAGACTCCTGCGCCCTCATCAGAGATCCTGCTGACTCTGCCCACTCCTGTGTCCTCGTCGGAGGTCCTGCCAACTCTGCCCACACCTGTGCCCTTGTCGGAGGCCCTGCCGACTCTGCCCACACCTGTGTCCTCATCAGAGGTCCTGTGGTCTCCATTGTCCCTGTCTGAGGCAAGACCGAAAACTCCTGGCCTCCCCCCTGAACTGTCACCTGTGTTTGGTCGGCCTCCCGGCCACCCCCCTGAACAGAACTGCCTGTTTTGTTGGCCTCCCAAACTGTCGTGGCCTTATGGCCTTCCTCCAGGCCTCCCTCCTGAACTTTCCGGGCTATGTGCCCTGCCTCCAGGCCGTACGCCTGAAGGTCCGGAGTTTTCTAGTGTCTCCTTATTCTTCCTCGCGGCTCCTTGTTTACTCCTGTTGGATTTTGATAGTAAGTTTTGTGACGGCCCTGGTACTGCTGTTGTTTTGTGTTTCAGGTTTTGGCGTTATCTGGTGGTTGGTGGTGGCATGCCTGCTGGTCGTTGGGAGACCCGCCCACCTACCTGTTGATTGCAGATGGGCTTCACCTGAGTGGAAGGGCATATAAGCCAGGCTGCCACAGCTTTCTGTCTCTCTTCCTCTGGACAGAATAGACTTTTTTCCCTCTGCCCTTGTATTTTTGTTTTGTTTTGAAATAAACTAAACTTAAGAAGCAAGTTGACTGTGTGGACCTCCATTGAATGTTAGGGCCTACACGAGCTGGTCATAACAGTTTTGTTTTGTTGTGGACTTTTGATCTTTATTTTAAATAAATCATTTTTGTTAGCTTCTGCACTTGGGTTCAGTTCCTTGTTTTTTACCTGAACGTGACACCTGCAGGTTAACGGTCGTTATGCTTGTGTGGCTAAAGTGTGGTCAAATATGACTCTGGACAATATGCCACTTTAACCTGACACAGCCTACATATAACTTTATCTCCAGTTTATAGATCAAAATACTGCCATACTGCGCAGCGCTACGGGATGTCATTCTTCCACTGTCCTGCTGTTCTCTTCGGGGTCTTAGGTCACAGCATTAGGCCGGGTGGCAGCAACTACTGACAGGGGCTACATGCTGCATTCATTTGCTCCTCGGATGGTTCTTCAGACTTCAGTTTGTTTTCTAATTTTGAAACTTATTTTCAAATGTGCCGACAGCCCAGCAAACCAAACCAAATGAAAAATGCAACACTACAACAACTTCACCCTTGAAACACACCGAGCATTAAAAACAGCTGGCTGCTCCTCAAAAACATCTGGAACGATCCTGAACCCTAAAAACAACTGGCTGCTCCTCAAAACATCTGGAACTACGACCAGTGATCCTGAACACTAAAACAGCTGGAACTACGACCAGTGATCCTGAACACTAAAACAGCTGGCTGCTCCTCAAAACATCTGGAACTACGACCAGTGATCCTGAACACTAAAACAGCTGGCTGCTCCTCAAAATATCTGGAACTACGACCAGTGATCCTGAACACTAAAACAGCTGGCTGCTCCTCAAACATCTGGAACAGCTGGCTGCTACTCAAAACATCTGGAACTACGACAAGTGATCCTGAACAGTAAACATCTGGAGCTACGACCAGTGATCCTGAACAATAAAACAGCTGGCTGCTCCTCAAAACATCTGGAACTACGACCAGTGATCCTGAACACTAAAACAGCTGGCTGCTCCTCAAAATATCTGGAACTAAGACCAGTGATCCTGAACACTAAAACAGCTGGCTGCTCCTCAAAACATCTGGAACTATGAC